ACTATCTTGAAGAAAAAACAATTATAAATTTTAATTAGAGTTCAATAGAGTTTTTGTGGATGTTCGTAATAATAATAATATACTTACGATAGTGAACATAATTACATTTATTTTACGTAAGTGCAACTATAAGTACATATATGTGTATACATAATGCATACATACATACATACATATACATTATGTTATTTTAATAACAAAAAATATTGGCTTAATGCTTAATGAAAAGTATTATATACACACATTAGTTGACAGTTTATAATTAAAAACATCAAAGTAGTTATTATTCTTAAAATTTTACCGTATTAAACGAATAACATGGGCTATAAATTTGTTTGTATGTACATATGTATGTTACTGTTTTTGCAAAGTGCATATACGATGCAAACATGTACATATATTTTAAAGAAAAATGTAAAAATATTCACCATTTAAAAATCAACATTTAATATATACGTACATATATTTGATAACAATAAGCATATTTACAATTCGTGTGTGTAGTAAGCTTATTTTTTGTTAAGCTGAGTTGGAGATAACCCTAGGTTTAAACTTATCTTTAAACCACTTCGTTCTTTTATTGAAAAACAAACACAAATAAATTTCGCAGCAACAAAAAATATTGGTAGGAAGCTCTTTTTCATTATAAAATTATTAGCTGAACAGATAGGTTGCCCTAGGTATATTGATTTATATTGATCTTTGTTTTTAAGGTATGATTTTAATTTGTAAATTGTATTTTAAGTGGAAATTATTAAATTGTTTACTAACAGCTGTGGAATATAATTCCCTACATAAAAACATTTATGTCAAAATTAATAATATGAAGTTATATGAAATATCTACTTGCAATATTTATTCAACTTAGACCAACAAATATCAACTTAAAACAATTCAATTTTGTAAGATTTTATTAAAATAATGACAACATTCCATCAATTGCATTCTTAATATACGTTTGTCATTAAATTAAATTTCAGAATGAAAAAATTTTTAAAACAAAATTTCGAAATGAGGAGGAAGAAAAATTATGATTGAATTGAAAATAAGAAATGAAAGAATTGTTACACAAAGAAATTTACAAAATTTTGCTTTTGAAAATGAAATTTGTCTCTTTTACATGTATTATACTTAATTTCGCTATTAAGCTAACAATTAAATTAATTTTTAATACGTACCTACATGATATATGAGTAAAGTTTATGGGATCATAATTGTGAAATTGTTGCAAGGCATGTCAGGTATTTTTTTTTTCCAATAACGTAGTAGCTGAGCGTCTATAGTAATATTTTACTTTAACATGATTTTGTTATTCTTAAATTTTGATCTTGAAAGTGAAATACAACAAAAAATGAGTTGTGGCTAGGTATAAAATACCATTTCTAAGTATTGAGCAAGTCCTATTTTAAATAAATACAATTAATGAATTGCAAGTAATGAAATCAAGAAAGATAAAAAAAAATCATTTAGGATTTAGATGAAAAAAGAAAAAACTTATTCAAATTCAGTTTTTGTGAGAAAAACCTAACTAAACTTACTTAAAAAATTAGAATTTTTCCAGATTTTCTTTTGCATTATAATCTAGACTTATGCTTGTTTTATCTTTTAATTTTTTGAAATGAAGAACTAAGTACATTCATATATATATACTCGTATCTATACATGTACTTATTCTAAGTACATTTATTTATAAGGAAAAAATAGTGTCATTTCAATAATTATGAAGCAAAAGAACAAAAACAAATCATAAAAAAGACATTATTTTATATTTTGTTTTGCTTTTCGTCCAATTATTATTTATATTTTTTTTTGTTCTTATTATGGGTCCTGATTTTCGAGCATTTAAAAATTAATAATAGTTTTGATTAATTTTGTATCAGCCTAAACCTTATAAATTATAACAGACAAGGTCGAATCGTTTACACATTTATACATATATGTATGTATAATAATATAAATGCATATATATATATATATGCTTACACACATTTATACAATGTTATGAACCAATCTATATATATATATATATATATATATATATATATATATATATATATGTACGTGTATATACATATTTGTATTATAGCTTTTATTTCAGTATATTTTTAAGTATGATTTTCTTACGATACTTAAATAATATCAGAATAGCGAATATAAATATCCTATCTGTACAACTATATATATTTTAATAAATATTTTATAGAAAAAGCATATGTGTTTTTAGGTGTCGTAACACAAAACCAAACTAATTTATAATACTCAGAGAAAGAAGATTTTTGAGCGTTTTCTACTTTTGAAACACTTTGGAAAAATTGACAGATCTTCGTTGTAATGAGAAAATAAATATTTTACGTACGTAGTACATTTCAACTTTCGTATCTTAGGTTCGACAATTTTCAATTATAATTATATTTTAAATTTCAACTTATAATTATATTGTTAAGCATTTTTGAGTTTGGAAAAAAAAAACGAAAAAATAGTTTTAGAAAAAGAAACAACTTGTACTTTAGTTACATAAGTTCAAAAGTGTTCACTTCAAAAAGTGAATTATTTAAAGTGATTAAATGCGTGATCGTTAATCTCGCAATATAACTGGCCTAGTGAGAAATCTAATTATTTACAAATATATGATAATTATTCACTTTCTTTTCACTTGGTGAGTAAAATAGCGAGATAGACGATCAGGCTCTTAATTTTAAAAATTAAATCTTCTCCCACGAAAAAAGTTAAAGAAATTTTTTTTTATTAGTTATTTAATTAAAAGTATTTGAAAATTTTTGTAATATTATTTGGGTTTTTTTTCATAGCACTAATAAACTTTTTCAAACGTAAACTATAAACACATGTAAAACCCTGTGTTTATAAATAAAATTTAAGAAGGAAAAGAAAAAGAAGAAAATCAGAAAAACTAAAAGTAATCAAGAAATTTTAAAAATTGTGACTTAAGGATTCAGTTTTTTTCTCTTTTTTCTTTTTTTTGTTATAATAATGTATATTGAAAGGATATGTTCGTGTATTAAGTTTTCTTTGTGAATATACATATTTATTATATACATACACATAAATGTAGATATATAATAAAAAATGTACATAATTATATAAATGTATCATAAATATTAACATGTGGGTGTATAATAATGTTTTGTATTTCAATCGATTTTATGATTTCAATGCCTATTTTTCTGCATAAAAACAAATATCAATAACCCTGTACTGACTTTTCTTTTCTGTTTTTTTTTTCTCTTTATTTCAATTCGTTTTTAGTTATTGCCATTATTATATTCTATATATTAAATCGATTTCATAAGTAAAAAAGAAAAACACACAACCGAAATGATATTTGTAAATATATATTTTTATATTTGTATTTTGCATATATATGTATGTATAATATTTAAAAATTGTTCAATTGGCAATCTTAAATTCTGTTTTTAAATAAATTTAATTAAAAAAGATATTAAAAATAACTAATACTCTTTAAAAATATTATAATAAAAAACAATTTATTACAATCAAAATTATAACAATTTTGAGTAAAATGTCTAAATTACAATAATATTTGAAAAGTTTTCATATTATTTTATGAATACCATATTGCAAAAATTACTTTTACTTTGGCTTTAAAATTTTCTTATTACATATTATAAGACATTTAATAATACGAAAGATTTATTTCGTATTATTAAAAGTCTTATATTTGTGTCAACTCGAAGTATATCTGAGAGTGTATATGTACCTACAAAATTTATACTTGAATATTTTTTATCTGAATATTAATTGTGCTAATTTTTAATAAAATTTTGAATTTATTTTTTTTTAAACAAAAAGTAAAGATTGCTCTGTGAACTTTTAATAAAAAGTTTTATAAATATATTATATAGGTATATATTTTATTAAAAATATAATTTTTATATAAAATTTTCAAAAATCTGCGCTATTATAAAAAACTCACTTTTATATTTTTTATTTTTTTTTTATTTACAGGAATTAAACGTAGTTACCAGGTCGTTACTATAAAATCAAAATAGTAAATTTTTTTTTTGTTTTGTTTGTTGAAACTAAACCAAAACACACAACATAAATAAAAAGTAAATAATATAAACATTTATAATTATTAACAACTAAAAAAAAAGAATAACAAAAAAGAGAGAAAAAAAAAACAAAATTAATTAAAATAAAAGAAAAAGAAAAAGAGAAAATACGAAAAAACGAAAATAAAAAAGTATTTCCAAATTTTACAGTTATCGCCATCGTCATTTTTATTATATATATTTTGATTCAGTCTCTTTCTCTCTCTTTCTCTTCATTTCTCTGTATATACATATATGTAATATGTATGTCTACATTAAAATCTAAATATATGCAATTTAGTTAAAAATTTTATAGATAAAATGATAAATAATATTTTCCTGCTTTCCTGCTAATATTTAAAAGGAACTTATGCAATATTATGCAATATTGTTATATAATATTTGAAAAAAAAAAACAATATTTAATTCCTCTCATTTAATTTTTACTTTTTTGTTTTTGTTCTATTGTTTTTGTTTTCCCTTTTTTGTTGATATTTCCAAGCTAAATCCATTCAGTTTAATTTTATCCCGTTTTTTCTTTTTTATTTTTTGCTTTTATTTTTAATACATTTTCATTTTGACTAATAATGTACATGAATTCTATAAAAAAAATAATAAAACTAACATTTACTTAAAATAAAAATTTAATTTAAATAAGAATAAAAATAAAATAAAAATCGAATCGCATAACATTCCTCGTTCGGAATTTTTTTTTTTAAATTTACATGCAAAAGTATATTAAGCATTTTAATTTCCTAATAATTGAAAAACAATATATAATATGAAAAATTAAAAATAAAAGGTATATATATACATATATTTATGTATGTATATCTACATATATATTTATGTGTGTATACATATATATGTATATATATACATAATACATATATTATATAACAATTAATATTAAATTTTAATAAATTTCAGTGCGTAAAAATTATAAATTTAGTATATATGATAATACATGTATAAATATGTAAAATAAATATATATATATATATATATATATATAAACATAGCTTAGATAAATCAATTAAAAAAATAAATATATATATATATATATCTAAATATATATATAATGATAATAAGTATGTTAAATTGAAATTAAAAAAAAAAATACATAATAATATTGAAAGAAGAAGCAATTATATTTAAAAAAAGCAACAAAAAAAAGGAAGAAAGCAAAAAAAGAAAAAAAAGAAAAACGTCAAAAGAAAATTCATTGCACTTATTATTGCTATAGTATTCAATTTTTTTTTTGTTTTTATTTTATTTTTTGTTTTTTTTTTTTGTGATTTTTTCTGGACGTGGTAAAAGTTCTAAAAAAAGTCCTTCAAAACGGCCAAATTAGCTGAAAAATTAAAAAAGACCATCAATAAAACTGGTGGCATATATGAAAAGGATATTGTGGCAGCAACAACTACGGCCAGCAATAGTAGTTCAGCGGATACAATGGCTTCATCGAATCGTGGTATACAAATTGGTTCGGCATGGTTTCAACGTAAAATTAATTTACGCCCACAACATCGGGGCGTACATTTAGTTACGGAAGAAATACTTAGACAAATGCCAGAATTAGGGCAATTTTCAGTTGGCCTATGTCATGTTCAAAGTAAGTAAAATATTTCTATATATATATACATATATTATAAAACAAAAATTATATATTATATGAAAACACAATATAATATTTTAGTTTAAAGCTACGTACTCGTATTTATATTTATACAATTTCAATCATTTTCTCTAGTTCTATAAATTTTTTCTTTTCAAAATCTTATATTAATTATTATACCATTTCCCTTTTTCACTTTATGGTAGGGATATAGATATGTTGCATACTTTAATAGAAGTCGTGCTTCAGCTTCGTAAAATCATTGAGTTTAAGTAGGCAGGTGATTGGCCTGTTATAGTTTTTCTTTATATTAAATATTTAAGGCTATTGATATTTATTGTTTATTTTTATTATATCAATTTTGTGGAAAAGTGGTAATTAATTTTGTATTAATATTTTATTTTATAGTATTGTATATTTAGGTATGAGAGAGTCATCCGAGACCCTGCGGTAACCGAGAGTTGGTAATTTGATATGTTCGAAATGATTATTGGTTTGTCTCGAAAGCGAGTAGTAAGAAAATTATAAAAAATAAATTTAAATTATTTGTTTTTCGGAACCGAATAGCGAAGATAATCGGTTTTGTACATCCCCGTTCAGTTTGTAATTGTTTAATAACTAATTGATTTTTTTTTTATTTCAAATTCGTTGTCGTAGAAAAAAAATATTTTTATCATTATATGTTAAAGCTATTGATCTTACATGATTTTTGTTGTTAATCTTATGTTACTCATTTATATTACATTTATTATGCACATATTATTTAGGATTATTTATGCCAATTGATAGAAACACATGCACATAAAAAAAATTCAAAAGAATTTTTTTCTATATTTTTTACTTAATATTATTATCGTTTTAGTGTGTAGCTCGAAAAAATATTTATGTGAACATAAACCTACCTGTCTAAATGGCAAATATTTTCTATTTTTTTTTTTTTTTTTGAAAAAAAGCGTAGAGAGCTTAATTAAAATTGGTTTTCAATCTTTTAATTAAATATCAATATATTGGGTAATAGAAAATTAATTTTCTCAACTTTTTATAAGGAAAACTATTACTGTTACTATTATATTTTCGGTTCAGCAGAAATTTTTCCTTAAGCTTTCAGAAAGCTTAATTAATCGATGTAATTCACGCATGTTGTTGAGATGTTGGCTCTGCTTGTGATGCGGAATATGGTCGAGAAAATTTCGTTTGTCTCGTCTAGCGGTCCTTTTGAATTGTTTTGCCAGGTCCTTGTATTGCGAAGAGCTTGTTAGTTTCGCCTTCTCTCTTTGTTAAACGAGATCCTAAGTTTCTTCAGAGATCCATGGCTTTCGCTGTGTTTCTTGTCTACCTCGTGCCTCTTCGGCAATTTCATCAACTTTATAGTCACTATATTTTCCTATGGGTGTACTTGATTTGGCGGCAGTTTTTCGCGCAGCCTGCTCACATAATTGTGTGCAATATCGGGATTGCGAAGTTTCTAAGTATTGTAGTTTTGTTTCTGGTATCTTGATATCGCCTGTGGGCAGCTCTTGTGAATTTCAAGCAAAGTTGTCGTTTGTTGTAGAAGTCAATCTTCTTTTCGTTACCAGCTTCTTTTGTCGGTGCATAACATTGTAGAACAGTGATATATCCTCTCATATTCAAAATTGACCGTAAAATGAACTAAGTTCTAACTTTTAGATTAAGTCGAATATTTTTTGAATAAAAAACAATAAAAATATTTTTGTAATTTTTCGATTGGGATTTAGCATCAACTTTTTAATGCTGTCACAATTTTATAGTTGAAACGTAAATGTACAAATCTTAAAAAAAGAAAACAATAATAATTAATAATTAAAATAAATATTCTTAATCAAATCAAAATAAATTTCTAATTTCATAACCCCGATGATTTATTTATGTTTTTTTTCTTATTCTAAGGTTCAATCTGTTATAAACATATTACACATATGCATTTGTGTACTATATGTGAGAACATATGCAATTAATCTGGAATAAGTACTACTTATACATACTTATTTTTGTTGCATATAAGGAAAAGTTTTTTTTTTTGCTCTTTTTTTATCTGAACTGCAAATCAATAATAAATGAATTTACATTTTTATTTTATTTTTATTTTCGGTTTTTTTTTCTGTTTTACTTTAACTTTAAATAGAAGAAATACTTAATTATCATATTTTATTTTAATATGTCATTTTCCTTGTATACATATCTTATAATATTACAATAAAAAAAAAAATTGCAATTGAACATACATTTATACATACATATATATATATATATACGCTAGTAGAATAAAGTAAAAGAAATAGGAAAACAAAATGCAAAAACAAAAAAATATATAAATGACATAGCTTCAGTATAATATGTTTTAAAAATATAAGTACATATATGCACATTTCACATACACACACACACACATATTTTGTAAATATATATCGTATACTATTCTACATGTGTGCATACATTTATATTATGTACATTTATTTATCAAAAGGAGACAAAGTACTTGACATACAATATTTGACCTCATTTTCATGTACATACTTATTATTATTATTATTGTTGTTATTGTTGTTATTATTATGATTATATATTTTAATTTAATTTAACCCAATTATAAATTTTCTTTATTTATAATTTTTTTTTTTAGTTTTATTTCTTACTATACGTTTAATATTTTGATATATAAATATAATATATTTTTATGTTTTTAATTAATATATATGTATATTATAATTACACTTATGTATATATATGTATGTTTGCATATGAACATATACTTTAGTTTTTATAAGAACAATATAATAATAATATTATTAAAAATATCCTTTAAGAAAATATAAAAATCAGTTTTTAAAAATTAATTTATTTTGTTGCTTATAACCACCACTATATAAAAATTAAAAAAAAAAATAAAAACTAAAAATAACGGAATACACTTTTCATCTTTGAATTTTCATTCTTTTCATACCTACTTACATAAATTCTTCTTTTAAAATATAATTCTCTGTTATCCTTTTTATCCTTCTATTATATACATGTACAAATACATATATTAAGTTTTATTTCATATAATTTTTCGTTTTTTAATTTGGTAGTTTGTTTATTTTTAATTTTTTCTGTTTTTTTTTGTATGTCATTTTTGACAATTTTGGTTGTGTATATATTTTCATCATTATATTTATAATATATGACACTTTTTTATATTTTATTATTGTTATTATTATTATTCTGTTCTCGCACAACAGTCACGACAAAAACTTAAAAATAAAAAAAAAATAGCAACAACAAAATATAAAAATAAAAACAATAATAACAACCACAAAAAGAAAATCAAATATGAAATAAAAAGGCAAAAATAAGAAAAAAAATTTCACATAAATACATATGTATATTTGAAAAAAAAAATATTGATAACACGAACACATCTGCATTATGTCCGCCATATTTAACGGGTAAAGAGAAAATTGTAAGAATCAAAAAGAGAAAAAGAACAAACATTGGGGTACAAAAACAATAAAACAAAAAAAAATTTTTCTAGTTTTTTTGTTTTTGCGAATAACGGTAACAATAATAGTAATGAAGCTAGACATTCGTAGCATAAAATTTTAAGAAAAAACAAAAAAGGAAAACTTGTATGAAAATAAAAATTAAATTTTTTCTGTTTCGTTTCATTTTGCTTTTCTCTCTTTAAAATGAAATGAAAATCCTTATTTTCATATTCACACACTTCTGTTAAATTTTTTTTGTGAGTTGCTATTTTAAAATTAGAAAATAGCGAAAAGTGAAAGGAGGGTTACACTATTTAGAAAAGAAAAACAAATTTCTTAAAGGATATTTGTTTTTTTTTTTTTATAATATTGGTGGTTTCTTTTTTTTTCGCTTTTGCATAAATTCGCATTTAACACAGTTATATTAATGAAAATATGAATATGAAATATAGTAGATATATGTATGAATGTAAATGGAAATAGTTATACTTTGATGTAGTTCTCTCATCGATAATAGTAATACTAATGAAATACGAAATTAGTAAACACTCTTATTAAAATTAAAATTCACTTTAACTTTATGCTTTAGATTTTGTAGTAATCACTTGTTCAATGATATTTATTATATATATACTAACAATGCAAAATGAACAATATCATAAATTCAAAATTTATATTGTACTAAAAAACTAGATAGTTTTATAGAAAAAATTTTTTTTTCAAGCAAAAAGGACATCCGTAATTTATTATAGTGAATGTGATTAAAAACTTTTAAAAGTTAAATTATGTTTACGAAATTTCAAATATAACAATATAAAAAATATTCAAATTTAATCTCAAAGATTTTATATAAAGGTTTTAATAAAGATTATATTTATTTCAGCAATTTACAATAAGAGGGCTTCATTATTTTGTATTATCCTTACCTTATACGTTACATATGACGAAGACCTACATTTTTTTCTTGCTGGCTATAAGTGATATATTTGATACCCTACATAAAATGAAAAAAAATTAGGTGATTGAAATCGCGTTGCCTATATATATGCAATTTTTACCATACAACTTAATATTAAATGTGCATGTAAAAGTTCAAAATAAAATATTCTACTTTTTAAAAAAATATTAAATTATTTGCAAAAATGATCCTATCAGATTTTTTTTGAGACAAAAGAATTACGATTATGAAGGCTAAGAATCATGTCAATAAGGACAAGTAAAAATTGATAGGCCAAAATTCTACTTTCGTTGTGATCAATTTAATATTTTATTTGCCTAAAATTTTTCATAAAATCATTCATAAAAATTCAGCAAATTCAGAAAATTTGTTCGCAATTTATTACTTAAATCCACTCCTAGCCGCTTAACCGTTTTTTCACTTATTATGAATGACTACATTCAATACTACAATGTAGTTGTTATTCATAATGAGTGAAAAAACGGTTCTAAATAATGAGGGAATAGTAAACAAACTAATACTCTGATTATCCCTATACTTTACGTTATTAAATATTA